CTTCGAAATAAATCATGTCGTCCCTTTCGTTGTATTAATTTAATAATTTCGAGAGCATTTTAGGGCAAATTTCAATTAAATGAAAACGTCCAATTAGAAAGAAAAAAGCGGAGATATGTTTCATTTTAAATGAAATTCAAATTGTGATATACTGTTAACATGGGAATGTCACTGGCACTCTGCACTTTGTTTGGATCAAAGTTTTACTATATTTTTCGGGTTCGAACTTTCGCCGTCTGATATTGATTGAAAATTATATCTAAAAATACGCCGCCTTTGTGGTAATCTTCCTAACTGGCACCGGAATCGTATTTGGAAAATATATGGCATTTAATATGTCTAAAACGCAAACGCTGGTAATCTGCGTACTATCGACGTTATCATTTCTTTCTGCATTAGGAAATTAGAGACCAACAGGCGATTGCACGTTTATACTTATAGCCTACTGAAAAATCGAATTTCGACGTAGTTTGTAACAGAATCACAGGATGTACTCAGAGATTACTTCCGGGAGTATTAAAATATCTATCGTATTGGCACGGAAACTGAAAGTTAACGTGGAAAAAGCCGCTGGGAGTTAATACCACCACAAACTAAACATCGGTAGGGGTCCGTTGTCAATTGAATGTATTTTTTCGGCGTTGATTACAGCTTTCCCTTTAAGTGTGTCTGTATTCATTCGTAGCTTTTAGTTAACGTTTCCTTATCTATTGACGTCAACAGATTTGAATGTATTCTGGGGGCACTATTGTACCTATACGTCTTCCATAAAAACTTATTGGTAGTAGGGATGCTTGAAGTTTCCTTTTTTCCGTAATTGTATGTTTTACAACACGCATTTCCCTTTTTCTGTTGGCAGTTACCATTGTTTATTCATTTTAAATGAATAACCAATGCTATTACGGTTACGAAATAACTACAGTTACGTTTGGGGGTAAAAATTCCGTCGTCGATCTGAATGGTACGTCTTTAAATGAAAATCTAATTTTTTTCTTCTAGGTTAACCGTTCAAATTTCAAAGTCGTAATCATTTACCTGCTCTATTTCTAAAACTTTCAGTTACGGTGAAATTATTTATTTAACAATAGCTGTAGAACGATGGGGGCACGTAGATTATCGGGAAAATTCTTACACGGATAAGATAGTGTTTTAAATTTTAATCAAGAGAAAATTCCTACTATAACAGTCTCATGAGTGTCACATATAAAGGCTTGATTAGCCTGATTAAAGTTCTTCTCCTATCCACTGCATTCCCGATAAAAGTCGCAAAACCCGCAATAATTACAGACTTCAAAGGTGGACCTGGACACGTCTTATGAAAACGTCCTTTATTAAAGAACAAAAAGTTGATAGTTTAATACCTGCTAGTTATACAGTTTTTAATATTTTTACGTTAACATCTCGAACGTTTTCAAACTTTAAAGAGAAAATACATACATTGCGTAAATTTTAACTCTGAACATACAAATCCTATCTTCAATTTTTAAATATACAGGTCAATGCATTGATATGCAACCCACCTTGCACACAGCAGTATAAGCAATACTTGGCAGCAGAGTTGGACTGGGTCAAGCATAGAGTGACCCAGTGACCCGGTGACCCAGTTAGTTTACTGACCCAGTGACCCGGTGACCCAGTTGACCCGGTGACCCACCTTGACCCAGTGACCCAGCTTGACCCGGTGACCCAGCTTGACCCGGTGACCCAGCTTGACCCGGTGACCCAGCTTGACCCATTGACCCATCTTGACCCAGCTTTATTCAGTGACCCGTCTTGACCCGGTGGCCCAGTAATTAAATTATTGTTAGGTATCATCCAAAACAATTTCAAGTAACTTTTAATTTAAAAAAAAAACTTCCTCAATAATATTCGGCAACAAGCACTTAGCCCAATTTCATTCAAGAGAACTAATACCTAAAAAAATCAAATGCATTTGTTTATAGTTTGTAGTCAAGTAGTCAATGAAAGTATTTAGAGAAAAGATTTATTTGGATTAAGCTAACTAGTAGAAAAAAATTAAATGTGAATGAACACCTGTAAGCAAACTGGTAAGCCCTGAAGCAAAGAAATAACATTATTCTAATATAATTCGAGACATGGAAAGTTTTTTACGGCAGTATTAAAGCAAACATCACATAAATGGCAGTTGTCAAGCAATCGAGTATTATTTTCAACAAACCAGCATTTCATTTATTTCATAATCTGTACACTTGAACCGAGGGCACTGACTTAACTGCGTTATTCGATCAAACTAGGTGACTGGGTCGAATTGGGTCCCCGGGTGAAATTGGGTCGCTGGGTCAAACTGGGTCAAACTGGGTCACTGGGTCAAACTGGGTCACTGGCTCTAACTGAAAAGAGTATGACGTGACCCAGCGACCCAGTGACCCAGTTTAATTTAGTGACCCAGGTGACCCAGTTGACCCAGTGACCCAGTCCAACTCTGCTTGGCAGTAGGGAATACAATACCGGGATCACGGGATCCCGAAATACCGGGATCCCGCGGCATTTTTGCGGGATTAATCCCGCACTTAAAGGGAGCGGGATCCCGCAGGAATTGCGGGACTGAGGAATTTGTCGACCAAGGGGGCGACTCTGTTTGCTTTGTTAATGAAACGCATAATGGAGAAATTATTTTTAAAATAATTGTTAAACTTTTTTCGTTAAAAATGTACTATGATTTTTGAGGCACTTTATAAGTTCCCCTTTTTGTGCTTTACATGTGATTTTTTTCAGTTCTAAGTTAGACTGAAGGTACTTTTTGTTGAATATTGTTATCAGGATTGTTATCATTAGCGATTTATTTTAATACAGAAGTTAACCGCACAAAATTGCTTATTTACCAATTTATTTAAAGTTTTGCGGAATCCCGCAAATACCGGGATCCCTCGGGATTAACATCTAACAATCCTGCAAATACCGGGATTGAGATTTTGCTGCGGGATTGCATTCCCTAGCTGTAACTTTTGAACTAGTAGCCCAATCTTGGAACTGTTTGAAATTATGGACTCTACAGGCCACATTCCGGGTCGATCTGAGACAATTTTTTTTTTCGGGGCTCAAAAAAAGGCAATGTATAACCTTCCTTTTTTACCAAAAATCGACTACACCAAAATTTCTCGGGAAAACACTTTTTCTTATTAATTTGGGTGCGTAGAATCCAAATCAATTCATACTTTTTCGATCAGACTTCTCAATCAAAAGTTATAGACTAAAAACCAATTTCGAAAAAAATTCAAGGGACTGTAACTTTTGAACTAGTAGCCCAATCTTGGAACTATTTGAAATAATGGATTCTACAGGCCACATTCTATAAGAACATTTTTTTCCGGGCGATCCGAGACAATTATTTTTTCGGGGCTCAAAAAAAGGCAGCATAATCTTCCTTTTTTACCAAAAATCGACTACACCAAAATTTCTCGGGAAAACACTTTTTCTTATTAATTTGTGCGCAGAATCCAAAACAATTCGTACTTTTTCGATCAGACTTCTCAATCAAAAGTTATAGACTAGAAACCAATTTCGAAAAAAAATTCAAGGAGCTGTAACTTTTGAACTAGTAGCCTAATCTTGGAACTGTTTGAAATTATGGATTCTACAGGCCACATTCTATAAAAAAAATTTTTTTCCGGGTCGATCTGAGACAATTTTTTTTTCGGGGCTCAAAAAAAGGCAACCAAAAATCGACTACACCGTAATTTCGGGATGCTTATTAATTTGGGCGCGTAGAATCCAAATCAATTCGTACTTTTTCGATCAGATTTCTTAATCAAAAGTTATAGACTATAAACCAATTTCGAAAAAAAATACAAAGGGCTGTAGTTTAGGGACGTATTCGGGCATTCGGGATTTGCTTTGCAGATTCAATTTTTTTTACTGCGAAATTGTATTTAAAGATTTTCAGTTACTGGAATGTTACTCATTTGCTATGAATTCTCAAATGCCATACATTCTTCTACATATGCTAAAATATTAAACTTCATTTCTACACGTCAAGTTCTTTTTCTGGTAATATTGAATAACAATACCATCATCAACATGAAATTTTTTTTATTAAGAATAGAAAAACGACGACGTTTATTGAAAAACATTTGGAAAAGATGAAAGTAAGTAAGGTTGGTTGCATATCTCAAGGGGTATTTGACATGTATATTATTTAAGAATTGACCATAGGAGATTTGTAGATATGCGAGTATCTCCTTGCAAAATGACTTGATTTTTTCGTACAGTCTCTCGGCATTCGCACAAGCAATTATGGACACATTCTCTCTTCTTTCTCTCGAAGTTAGCACGTGAACATGTCGGCTGTCTTTCTGGGCTATAACCCTATCAAGTTTGTTGTTTTTTTTAATATCACTTTCGTGCATATTGTATATGCACTGTGGTTTACCTATCAAATCAGACTTCTGAAGAACACTCTGGACTAAAGAAAAAAATCTTTCTTACTTCCAAATCTGGTCTCCCTCCATGAAGGAATAAACCAGTGCATTCCAGTTGGCTTGGTTCCTTCCTTAGTTGAAAACTTAGAAGCGAGATTCATTTTATTTTGCAAAGTTGAAAGCAATTTGTCTGACAGACGACGGCGTAGGGGAAAATCAGCAACTGTAATTTTTTTTTATATGCTTCACCGATCTATTTTTATTTTCGACGCCCTACGTGAACTTTGGTAGAAATGACGGTATTTTCAGGTGCTTTCGGTGTCCTGTTAAAAGTTGAAATAATTGACATAACCTTTTTTAGGCCACCTACATAAGGAATTATTGAGGTATACTTACCGGTTATACATGTGCGTACTTATAAATTAACAAGCTGCTAAGGCAGGAAACTTTTTAGAGTAGACGCATGGTTTCTATGGGTATAAGCAGCTTATTTGCAATTAGCACTCATTTTATTGTTCAAAAACCATAGTAACCTGTAATGAGAAGAGAAGGAAAGGACGAAAAGGAAAAAGCTTTCTTTTTCTCCGTAATGAACAACTTTTTGATATGTATCTCTTTTAGGAAACACTTATGGAGCATCGAGAGAGCCGATCATCGTCTACGAAGGCGAAAACATTCGCTTACGATGTGCAGCAACAGGTGTCCCCAAACCCCACATCGAATGGAGACGTACAGATGGACAATTAATATTTACGGGAACATATCGCGGTAAATATACATAATAAATTTTCGTACTTCCAAATTTCATTTGTAATCAATTCCAGGAGCATAATTCGTGCAAGTAATTATGTTTCGCATTTGAACTTAATTGTTTAAGTTCATACGGGAGCGGAAACTTTGTCACCCACCAAAATCTGTCCCGCTATCATTAATATTTCGTAGAACCATTGCGAATTTGAAACGCACTTAAATATTAGTGTCAAGCTAGTCACGTTGCTAAAAGCTTATAATTTTAGCAACTGGACAATCTCTAATTATGAATGATACTTTAAGGGTGAAGTAATTTTGAAACTTTAATTTAGGTTAAAACGTCACGATTCAAGATATGTTGGTAACTTTTAAATTTCATTTTCCTCGTTGCAATTCTTTTGTATAGAGATTGAAAACATATGTACAATTGCCTTATGGATCCTTTCGAATGGACCACATGAAAGCATTAGATGGAATTTTAGGAGACCTTAGCATACACACAAAATGTGTAACAAATGAAACTTTATTCAACATAAAAACGAAAAATTAAATAAGTTAATCACTGTGATGCGCTCCAGTGGTGCTGGTATCATCCTTTTAGACAACATTTTAGCGTTTATAAGCAATATTGCACTCGAAATGCTTTTAACTGGAATTTAGGGATCATTTGTTACAAAAGACGCTATTTAAGTTGTCTAAATTCTCTAATGCTTTAATATGGTCTATTTGGAATACGTACTGTAGCGTCCAAATGTTTATCGCAATATAGTTTGTTTGTCGGCAATAACTTTTCATGCAAGTAAATATAAACAAGTATAAATTGTGCACAACTCTTGTGCTGATCAAGCGCATTTTTTAAACCGAAATAGCTTTTGTTTTGACATCACCGATGAATATATTTCTTGCAGACGCCCCTCCACCCCGTACTTAGATAAGACGACAGAAAAAAGGGCAGTAATTGGTAGAAAACGGTTCCTTTCGTTGAGACCTTTAATTAGAATACAATGAGACATAAAATTAATTCGCACGGGAAAGTTATAGTTTGTACAAACCAATTTATTTCGATGAGACCTTTCGTTAGAATACCATGAAGGGTAGTACATGTATTTACCACCTCCACCCCCCATTTTCTAAAGTTTAACTTGGCACCACTAAAGGCATACGTATGCAAAATCTGAGACCAATTGGTTCTCGTATGTAAAAGTTATGCACGTTTTACTTTCAAAAACAGCATCTCAGGAAATAATTCGTGGGAGAGGCCCCCTTTTAGACAGCGAAATTTAATGGCCGTCTGGCACACCTTCAATGTATAGGCTACCTACTGCAAAAAATTCCAAGACTCTAGGACCATTCCCCTAGAAGTAGTTCGAAACGGCAGAAGTGGGTCCGGACGGACGGACGGACGGACAAAATGCAAACAATAGCACATTTTTTTCTTGAAAAATGCGCTAAAAACAGTGTTCTTTAAATAAAAGACAATGCTGCTTTAGTCCTATCCAATAAATAACTGATTGTATACGATTTGATCTACAACATGTAAATAAATATATAAAAAATGTGTGTGAAAACTAGCTCAACTTTACGTTCACCTTTATTACCACGTAAAGAAATTTTTTTAAATATTTTTTAGCTTTCTTCTACACAACTTTCCCATTAAACAAGACTGGCTGTCTTTTAAAATACGCTCAAATACGGCTGGTTCGCTTATTTAAAACCATTTTCCCTTCTTTTTCCACTTTCCTTCCTCCTTCCTTAATTTATTAATGCGTCGTCAAAACGAACATCTGCTTAACTAGGCGAAAAACATTTGCTTATCCGAACTTATTTATCCTATGCAGCGATAAAGAATTTTTTATTTACGAGCGGAGGTAAACATGAAATGAACTTAATCTTTCAACACGTAAATCGAACTTTTCAGTAAAATAAACAACGCGATTATTTAAACAAAATTAACAACCTACAATATAATAATTCAATCTAAGGTTCATACTTGAAAAATTGCAAGTGCTATAATTAATTAACTCTGCGACTTTTACCCACAAATATGAGATAAATCTAAGAAATACTTTCATTAATAGGCATTTAAATATTTTCTTTAATTCTATTTTTTATTGGTATTGGTTTATAGTATATTCTTCAGTATATATAGGGTGTTACAAATTAGGCGGTAGAGGAGATCAAGCACTTTTTCCTAACCGAGGGTCCAACGTGTTTCGTTTGGAAGTCACCCTCAAGAATCGCATACCATTTTCAGTACCTATAGGGGAATTTTTTGACACTTGGCTCGCATTCGGAAACACGACTTTTAATCCGCCTCATCTTCAGTAACACCGATTCTTGAACTCGTAGAAATCGATTGGCTACGGTTTGACATCGCAGTTTCATTTCGTTCTGGAGTGAGCCGAGAAACCAGGAACAGACAGACAGGCGGACGGACCAAACCATCACATGAGGGGAATTTCTTTCGACAAATTTCTCTAAAAATGAAAGCAAATGTGGGAATATGTTGACATACGTGACATTTCTGATTCCTGGCCGGGAATCCAACCAGAAAACTGCATTAAGGTAGAAAATTAAATTATAGTTAGCACACCTAACAACTACAACATTTGTTGAGGACAATCGTTATATTTTATCATTTACCATGCATGCTATAAAGTGAATGCTCAAATTAAGATACCTTTTATGCTAATATTGGCGAAATCTTCGAACTTTACTTTCCGTTTCTTAAACTTCTTTATGTTGTATCATTGTCAAGATTACACTATCGTTGTACCAACTGTTAATTCCATTGAGTGGTTCCATCTCACGAGTGTATTTTGGGATTGTTTAAAATGACGGGAAACTTTATATCTTTGGCGTAGCTGGTATTAAAAATAAGTAGAAGTAATATAACATTTTCAAACGCTTTTTCCATCTTTTACACATAAATCATGACGTATTTTTCCCAACTTTGGAAACTTTAAATCGCTTGGTAAACGAAGCGTCCCTCGCACTACCTATATTTTTGTTATGCAAGTGAAGGTCTGCGAATGACGGTTTTTGGACACATTATGTAGATAAAATTACTTAATAAAAGATGAAAATGCGTTTCCTCTCAGTAATTTAGAGAGATCAAATAAGAGCCATGAACGAATTGGGTATATTCGGGTGTGTGAAGTACTTTCTAAAAAAAATAATAGCTAAATAGGATTCTTTCATTTTTTGTTGAATGAGAGGTATTTCGGTTACTAAACACGGCCTCAGGATTTGGATGAACAATTACAGAGAAATAACACAATTGCATATTGATGAATCGAGGCAAACATTTTTTTAACCTAAAACGAAAACATTTTCTACAATGTTTTCTTTTTACCAATATGTTTTATTGTAAAATATCGTCCAACCCAAGTTTGTTCTCGGTTTTTGCTTAAACTCTCTAAAATATACTGAATACAATAATCGTGTACGTATATGTTTGAAAAGGTAATTGAACTCGCTGCTGAAACTTTATTTAAATTTTAGGGGCTGTTTAGAATCTTGCTGGATGATCGATTTTGTTACCCCGGCCAAAAATGTCCACTTTGAAAATATAATTAAGTAATATATCTTTTGCATATGTTGAGACCGTCGGACACAATGTATATTATAAATAACTGTATTTATAAAACCTTTATTGTGGGTTTTGTCACAGAAACAGTACAATTGTTTACTGCAAGTGTGTGCCTTTTATGTCTAGTTAGTGTTAGTAGACGACACCCTGATTCAATTCGATTATACGATACTTCCCTTGCAAATAAGTGGTCTACAATTCCCTTTTTTATTAAACAGGAATTTGCAACGAGAAAACTGTATCATAAAAGTTGGTAAGAAATGCCTCCGCCCAGCTCTTACTGTTCCCTATTACATGTGGTTATAGCCAACCCCTATTCTTGATTTTCGTCACAGTGAAATTTAATGAAATCCCTTTGATTCCGCAACGGAAAGTTTGATTAGAATAGACAGCAAATTCAGTTGGTCCTTTTGATAACAATACACATTACAAAGACAATATTTTCATTGCTCTCGACTACTTTTAATCGTAAGTCAACATTTACAGTTTTACAACGGATCGTAAAGCTGTCGATTGAAATTGACAAAATACATAAATATTGTAATAATAGAAGTGTTAGGCATGAGTGCTAGAGGAAGACTGGTTTATTTGTTGCGTGGTACACTGGTACTACATTACATGTATACACGTCAGGTTGCCTATACTACATCTTTCCCTTTACAAAGTATCGTTAACTTTTCACATCAATTTTACATATTACAAATTAACTTACAATTCATAGTCTTTAAGTTTAGTTGGTTTACACTTTATTCTAGTCGAGCGTCTCGTCATGATATCTTCCTCTCCACTTTGCAAATAATTTAAGTCGTCTCCTGTTGTATTTACATAGGGTGGACTATTCTCATACTGCACTTCTATATACTGCCTACAATTAGTGTTTGGAAATACCTCATCGGGTGGTTGCTTAAGTTCACTGGAGGACGATTCAGTTTTACAATAATTGAACTTTTTTATAAATTTTCGATTTCTAACAATAGTTGATCCATTCTCCAGCGCTATTTTATATGATCGTATTGAAATTTGCTCAATAACTTTACCCGATTTCCAAACTCTTTGAGGACCAATTTGTACTAGTACGATGGTATTATTTTTGATTGGTTCTAGTTCCGAAACTCCTTTGCGATCAAACTGAACTTTTTGTTTCTGTTTTGACTTATCAATAAATTTATCAAAATGCTGCTTTTGATAAAGTTTTGCATCAAAATGACTATTTACTTGGGGGAGAATCGATCTCAAGTTGCGATTCATTAAAATATTTGCAGCACAGTGTATTCCATCTATAGGAGTATTACGATAATCTAATAACGCTAAATACGGATCTTTCTTATCGTCTAAACATTTGCGTAAAATATTCTTTACCGTTTGAACAGCTCGTTCAACATGTCCGTTTGATTGTGGATATCTAGGTGAAGACGTAACATGATCAAAGTCCCATTCTTTTGAAAACTTTTTAAATTCATAGCTGGCAAATTCTGGACCATTGTCTGAACAAACTATTCTAGGTATCCCTAATCGAGAAAATATTATCTTTAACTTCAATATAACATTACAACTTGACAAGTCCTTATTCAAATGAGCAATTTCAACATATTTTGAATAATAATCAGTCACTAACAAATAAGACATGTTATAAAGATGAAATATATCACATCCTACTTTATAAAATGGTAATTTAATAATTTCGTGAGGTATCATTGGTTCTGATTTTTGAGATTTTTGACTACTTTGACAAATATAGCATGATATTATCATATCCTGTATGTGTTTGGTCATTCCTGGCCAAAAGAAGGATAGATTAGCCTTGGCTATGGTTTTACTGATACCCATATGACTATAATGAAGTTTTTCCAAAATTTCTTTCCTACAAGATTTAGGAACAATGAACTTATGTCCCTTATACACAAGATCCTCTATTACTATCAATTCATGTCTATATTTGAAATAAAATTTTATATCCGCAGAGAGATCCTTGATCTTGTTCGGCCAGCCATTAATTATGACTCGTTTTAGCTTTACTAAATCTGCATCTAATTCGGTTTGTTGTTTATAGTAGTTTTTTCTCATTTGTAACATTTAAATACATAGCTGTTAAGCACACCTGAGCTTCCATTTCAATGTCTATTGCCTCATCAAAAAATTTATCATTTATAAAAGCTCTTGAAAGTGTATCTGCTATGACCAAATCTTTACCTCGTTTGTATGTAAGAGTGAAATCATATTTACGTAGTTGCATTAAGATTTTTTGTAATCTTGGAGGACACAAATTTATTGGTTTGTTAACTATTTGTAATAATGGTTTATGGTCTGTTTCCACAGTGAAATGTTGTCCAAATACGTATTGCTTAAATTTTTCTACACCAAACCATATTGCAAGAAGCTCTTTCTCTATTTGAGCATACCTAATTTGTGCATCTGTTAGTGCGCGTGATGAATGAGCACACGGTAACCCATTTTGTAATAGTACAGCCCCCATGCCACTTTTTGAAGCATCAACTGATATCGTTGTGGGCTTTTTTATATCAAAAAACTGTAAGCATGGGCTTTTACCCATGTCTGCCTTTAAATCCTTAAAGCTTTTATCATGTACCTTTTCCCAAGTAAAGATTACATCTTTTTTTAGTAATGACCTTAAGGGTGCTGTCTTGTCGGATAAATTTTTTATAAATTTTCCCACGTACGTTACTAACCCTAAAAACCTCTGTATTTCTTCTTTATTTACCGGTTTTGGCATTTTTATAATGGCTTCTATTTTTGAGTTATCTGCTTCTAACCCATGTTTTGATATTTTATGTCCCATATATTGCACTTCCTCAGCTAAAAATTTGCATTTTCCAAAATTGAACCTGAGATTGAATTTTGAAGCTAACTTTAGGACTTGTTCCAAACGTGCATTATGCTCGCTAACTGTTTTACCTGATACTATTATATCGTCAATATACACATTTACACCTTCTATTGAACCAAAGATCTCATTCATTCTTTCTTGAAAGACTTCTGGGGCACTAGTTAAACCATAAGGTAACCTTAAAAATTTATATCTCCCGAAGGGTGTTCCGAATGTGCATAATTTTGTACTCTCTTCATCTAACTGTATTTGTAAAAAACCTTGTGTAGCATCCAATGTGCTGAAATATTGAGTACCTACTAGTTTTGCTGTTAACTCCTCTATAATGTTGGAATTTGTAAATATTGTCTTTTAATGAATTTATTAAGATCTGAAGGATCTAAACAAATTCTTAAACTTCCATTGGGTTTTCTAATGATAACAATTGCATTTACCCACTCGGCACTCTCGTCACTCTTTTCAATAATTTTTTCTTTAACTAGCCTTTCTAAAGACTGCTTGAGATTATCTCTAATAGAAAATGGAATTTTCCTAACAGGATGTACTACTGGCTCTACTTTCCCCTTTAGCTCTATGCGATATGGTTTGTCTAAACACCCTATACCTCTGAAAACGTGATCATGTTTTTCTAACAACGTCTTTATTTCATGACTACCTTTGGTAACCTGAACAGTTTTTTCATCTACATTATTACCTTGATTGTTACTATTTTGTATAGTTTCTACTTTACTCAACAATCCCAAATCAATGCAAGCTCTAAGACCTAACAACGGTGTATTATTTATGTTGGCTATATAAAATAAAAGATCCATCTGTTTATTTTTATGTCTACATTTTAAATGACATTGCCCTACAATTGGAATTGGCTCCTGTGTATAAGTACAAAGCTTCATATTTGTTTTCCTAATTTTATTAAAATCAAAATTTATTACCTTCAAAACACTCACAGGTACGATATTTACCATTGCTCCTGTATCTAATTTAAAGTTTATCTCTTGGTTATTTATCTCCAAGGTTGTGAACCATGATAGCTCCGAAAC